CGAAGTCTTCATCAATATTTATCTCCAACTTCTTCAACCATAGCAAGTAAATTTTTTATAGTATGACTGTAAATCCGATTGAATCTCAATAGATACATGTGAAGATGAAAATATGCTTATTTGAAAATAAATTATCACATTACACCTATAAAAGATTTTGGACGATGGCCACCTTGATTGCAAAGGCGAGTCTTCTCAATTTACTCATTCTAGAAATTAATGTAGGTGTCACATAGATATGGGAAAAATGTTACGACTTAGGAGAATCGCTTTGTCAAACAACATTGAACTAAATCCATTAAGTTGATTTGGTCCAATTATGCATAAATTTCGATTAATATAGGTATTAGAATTAAAAACTGACGGATTCTCAATTTAAGTCAAGAAATAAATGCCAAATTCAATCTAATTTTTTAATACTTATTAATTAATTGTTTTATTTGACTCGTGAGGTTAGTGATTAACATCTGTTTTTAATCTAATTTGAAAAAAAAATGCATGTACAGTCAAAAAATCAAAATCAAAACCCATTTTTGTAGGAAAACAAGTCGCTAGTGGATGAAATCAATTGTATAAGTTTTATTCAATTACAATAGTCAACTATTGAAATTAATAACCACAAGGCAAACGATTTCAATTTATCAAAAAAAAATTCGTTTCACAATTTTCCAACGGCTGAAAAAAATGTTTAGCAACACAAAATTAGAAATATAAGTTAACTGCAGGCTAAAACTGTAAACGATAAATCTGAAAGCTGCACACTATGGAACTACAAACTGCATGAATTAAATAGTAATGCGAAAATAATCTGTAGAAAGAAAATAAAATTGCATCAGGTTTCAAACCAAGGCCTGTGCGTGCACAATTTCCTTAAGACAGTTTCGCCCCCTCACCATAAGTGCTGGAAGTTCAGTTCGAGTGGTTGTCTCCCAGGATACAACGGTAATAAGCAGAATTCGAGTACCGCGGTCCTACTCCGACAAACTAATCTATTATCCGAACGATATCACCACAAGAACAAGACCTTATTGGACAAGGAATGCAGAAAAGAAGAAACTGTGTATGCAGGAATGTAGGTGAGATTTTCGAGTGTGTTAGATTGTTGGAGAATGAGCATTTTTATAGGCATACTGTCCATTAGTATTGTGACCATTGGGAGTCCATTGGAGTTACTTCCCATTAACATTGTGACCATTGGGAGTCTATTGGAGTTTTTTCAGTTTAGAAACTCAAAAATCATTGGAGAAAGTCAAAAAAATTGGCAAAACGTGGGCTCACCGATGGAGCCATTTTTGCTTTGTTCGGTCTGACATTCGTGTGCGCAGGTCGCGCCCGCACCCAAGTTTAAGGTCCGAAGGCCATTTCGGTTCGTGATTTGCACACCCCTGCGCGCGCACGTGAAGAGAGCCTCTATGCTACACATGATTACACATCTCCAAAGCATAGCTATATATAAAGTGGTTTAAGTTTTCTTGATTTTCCTATGTGGGATAAATGCATTTTTTCCCACAAAACCAACTTTCAATGACCAACTTTGAGCTTCAATTTTGTCATTCACCCGAGCTTCATTTTTGGCAAATAAATACATGAAATCGATGTTCTCGCGGAGGAGAACACATATCAACTTTGATATTCCACATTGGATCAACGGGTCCCATCGAAAATTGTGCCAAAAGTGAACCGCTCACTCAAATTTTTCCAACAATTCCCCACATGAATGAAAATTAGGAGAGACAAAAAATGTGAGACACGAGACTAGGTGATAAAGTTCAGCGGTTGAATCCTGCATAGGATAGGTAGGTGTTACCCTTTGAACCTTCCCTTGTGAAAGAATATTTACTTTACTAGCTGACCAATAGATGCGATGTCTTTGAACTGTTCTACCGTTTGTGTAAACGATGATATACCTCACATAGGATTCTTCCTAACACAATCCAGTTCTCATTGTTATGTTCATTTTGGCCATGAACATATGCCTAGTTCTATGAGAGTTCTTAAGAATTGAGCCACACCCAATTCTCTTAGAAGCAGCCCCACTTCTTTCTCACATAGGTGATTTCTTATTACAAGTAACCCACATTACTTGGCTCAATTTACAATGCATAAGAATCATTAAAAGCCTATTGCTTAACCTTCAACCTTACGGGCATCGCTGTTATATCATAGGAATGGACAGGAGGTAATACCTCCACAGTGATTTTATCAAGTCTTTACAGTTAGGTTTTCCCATTGAACCTAGATCTTGGGATCTCCAGTCAACTAGGTTGAGTTTTTCTTTGTAATGACTTATTCTTTCAAGGACTTAAGTCTCATTCCTTTCGATAATTTCATAACTAACTCTCTATTTAACCCTTTGGTTAGTAGATCCGCAATGTTATCTTTTGACCTTATATAGTCAATAGTGATAACTCCAGTTGAGAGTAGTTGTCTTATGGTATTGTGTTTACGACGTATATATCTAGACTTACCATTATATATGTTACTCTGTGCCCTTCCTATTGCTGATTGACTGTCACAATATATACAAATTGCTGGCACAGATTTTGACCATCTTGAAATATCCTCTAAAAAGTTGCACAACCATTCAACCTCTTCACCACATTTATCTAGAGCTATAAACTTAGATTCCATCGTAGATTTGGCTATAACCGTTTGCTTAGAGGATTTCCACGATATGGCAGCACCACCCAATGTGAACACATATCTACTGGTGGATTTTGAGTCTTTTATATTAGATATCCAATTAGCATCACTGTATCCTTGAATGACTGCTGGATATCTAGTATATTGTAGTTCATAGTCACGAGTATATCTTAAATACCTTAGTACTCTTACAATTCCTTTCCAGTGATAAATTCCTAGATTACTCGTGTATCTACTCAGTTTACTGACTGTGTAGGCTATATCTGGTCTAGTACAACTCATTAAGTACATTAGACTTTCGATAACTCTCGAGTATTCTACTTGAGAGATACTTTCTCCTTTGTTTTTAGACAGATGTTGACTCGTATCTATTGGTGTTCTAGCCAAGCCAGTATCATCTTTATGGAATTTTTTTAAAATTTTGTCTACATAATATGACTGACTTAGAACAAGCACATTTGATGTTCTTGAGATTTTCACTCCAAGTATAACATCAGCTAAACCCATATCTTTCATGTCAAATCTCGAGTTTAACATATTTTTAATGGATTTAATCATCTTATTGTCACTACCAACAATAAGCATGTCGTCAACGTAAAGACATAAGATGACATATCCATCTTTAGTGTTTTTGACGTAAACACATTTGTCACATTCATTGATTTTAAATCCACTATCAATAATGACATTGTCAAATTTTTCATGCCATTATTTTGGTGCTTGTTTCAAGCCATATAGTGATTTCATCAGTTTACAGACTTTCTTTTCCTGTTCTGGTGATGAAAACCCCTCAGATTGTTCCATGTAAATTTCTTCTTCTAAATCTCCATTTAGAAAGACAGTTTTAAAATCCATTTGATGTACTTCAAGATTTCGCAAAGAAGCAATCGCAAGTATCATCCTAATAGATGTTATTCTCGCCACTGGAGAATACGTATCAAAATAATCAAGGCCTTCCCTTTGTTTGTAGCCTTTAATTACTAATCTGGCCTTATACTTCTCGATAGTTCCATCTGCTTTCATTTTCCTTTTGAAAGTGGTTTGCTTCCTGGAGGAAGATCCACTAGCTCCCATGTATGATTTTGTAGTATGGAATCTATTTCATTTTCAATGGTTTCTTTCCATTGAGGTCCTTTTGAGGAATTCATTGCTTTTTGATAATTTTGAGGTTCACTTTCTATCATATAGGTTAGAAAATCAGGACCATAAGATTTTTTTGTCCTTTCCTGTTTGCTGCGTCTAACCTCAGTCTCCTCTTCTAATTTTTAGTTCTGACTATTTTCAGTCATTGTCTCATATGTTCGTTTAGAGGAGCTTGCTTCCTCTTTGGATCTGTATGAAAATACTTCTTCAACGAATGTAACATTCCTTGATTCCATTATCGTATTTTTGTGTATGTCTGAAATTTTTGAATCATACACAAAAAAGCTATACGCACTGATATTATGTGCATAGCCAATGAAGACACAGTCTATAGTTTTCGGGCCTATCCTTACCTTCTTTGGTGGTGGAACAGCCACTTTAGCAAGACACCCCACACTCGCAAGTGTTTATAGGTAGACATTCTTCCTTTCCATAACTCATAAGGAGTCTTTTTCGATTTCTTTCGGGGCACCTTATTTAAAAGGTAATTTGCTGATAACACAGCTTCCCCCCACATGTTCTGAGGTAGCCCAAAACTTACGAGCATTGCATTCATCATCTCTTTTAAGGTACGATTTTTTCGTTCAGCAACACCATTTTGTTGCGGTGAATAAGAGACGGTGGTTTCATGTATGATTTCGTGTTGTGCACAGAATTCAGCAAATGGTGCTTCATACTCACCAGCTCGATCACTTCGCAGCACCTTAATTTTCTTATTAAGTTGATTCTCAACTTCATTCTTATAGAGAATAAATTTCTCTATAGTTTTATCCTTGCTTTTAAGCAGATATACATAGTAGTATTTTGTGCTATCGTCGACAAAAGTAATAAAATACTTGTTGCCACCTCTTGTTTGTATAAGTTTTAGATCACACACATCACTGTGAACTAAACGATGACCTTGTCAATTTTATTTCAACACAAGTTTCACACTTATGTTTGAAATCGTTATTGAATTTAGGTATGCAGTTAGAGTTAACTAGTCTTCGTAAAGTATCATAATTAACATGTCCTAGTTTACCATGCCACAAATTGGAAGATTCAAGCAAATAAGCAGAAGAACTTGCTTTATTCATTTTTGGTTTCACAATCATTACATTGAGTTTAAACATACCGTCGGAAATATAACCTTTTCCGACAAACATTCCACTTTTTGACAGAATGACTTTGTCTGACTCAAAAATAATGCGGAAACTATGCTTATTCAAAAGCGATCAGGACACTAAATTCTTGCGAATTTCTGACACATAAAGCACATTGTTGAGAGTCAGCTCCTTTCCCGAGGTCATCATCAGAATCACTTTTCCTTGACCCTTGATTTCAGAAGTTGCTGAATTTCCCATGAACAACTTCTCTCCATTCTCAACAGCTTCGAATGTATCAAACATTTCTTTATCAGAGCACACATGCCTTGTAACACCGGTGTCAATCCACCACTCTTTAGGGTTTGAACCCACCACGTTTACTTCAGAAATGACTGCTGCGAGATTCAGCTTCAACACATCTTGTGTCATGTAGTCAACCACGTTCGCTTCTTTATTCTTCTTTGGTAATCTGCACTCCGAAAACTTGTGACCCACTTTGTCACAATTGAAACATTTCCCTTGAAATTTTTTCTTGACAATTCCACCTTTCGGTCCTTGCTTGGTTCTTTTGCCAGCGGATGACCCAGACTTGTTTTTGTAGTTCTTACTACTTTGACCAAGCTCCACAACATTGGCTTTGGCCACACCATGATTGAACCACTTCTTCTCGGAACTCTTGTTGTCTTCTTCGATTTGAAGTCTAACAACGAGTTCTTCAACGTTCATTTCCTTTCGTTTGTGTTTCAAATAGTTCTTGAAATCTTTCCATGCGGGGGGCAATTTTTCTATAATTGCAGCCACCTGAAAAGTTTCACTCAACATCATTCCTTCAGCATGAATTTGGTGAAGGATCACTTGGAGTTCTTGCACTTGACTGATAACAGTTTTGGAGTCTACAATCTTATAGTTTAGGAATTTGCCGACTATAAACTTTTTAGCCCCGACATCCTCAGTTTTGTATTTCCAGTCCAAGGACTGCCATAATTCCTTAGCAATTTTCATGGTGCTATACACATTGTACAGCGCATCTGTTAGGCTGTTCATGATATAATTTCGGCACAGAAAGTCCGAATGCTTCCAAGCATCAAGTGCACTCAATGCTTGCACATCTCCTTCGCCCTCATTAAGTTTTGGAGCAGTTTCGGTCAAGAATCTCGCAAGATTCAAGGTGGTCAAGTAAAAAAGCATTTTCTGTTACCACCTTTTAAAATTCAAGCTATTGAATTTCTCCGATTTTTCTCCATGATTAACCGGAACAGTTACAGTTTGGTTCACAACATTACTTGGCATTCCAGCCACAGTCTGAGCCACAACGGAGCTTGGCCTTTGAGCCACATTAGAACCCACAGCCTGATTTCTAGCGGGAACATTTTGGGTCACATCCATGTTGTTCGATTCGGTTGCTATTTCTGAAAACAAACCAAATATTAGTTACAAGAAACCAAAATTCAATTAAACTAAAAATCAACTCTTGTTTTCCGAATTCACAAACTGTCTTAAGCTTGTAGGAAAACAAGTCGCTAGTGGATGAAACCAGTTGTATAAGTTTTATTCAATTACAATAGCCAACTATTGAAATTAATAACCACAAGGCAAACGATTTCAATTTATCAAAAAAATTTCGTTTTAGAATTTTCCAACGGTTGAAAAAAATGTTTGGCAACACAAAATCAGAAATATAAGTTAACAAAACACAAATTGCAGCAGGTTTTAAACCGAGGCCTGTGCGTACACAGTTTCCTTAAGACAGTTTCGCCCCCTCACCGTAGGTGCTGGACGTTCAGTTCGAGCGGCTGTCTCCCAAGATACACCGGTAATAAGCAGAATCCAAGCACCGCGGTCCTAATCCGGTGAACTGATCTAGCATCCGAACAATATCACCAAAAAAATAAGACCTTACTGGATAAGGAATGCAGAAAAGAAGAAACTGTGTATGCGGGAATGTAGGTGAGATTTTCGAGTGTGTTAGATTATTGGAGAATGAGCCTTTTTATAGGCATACTGCCCATTAATATTGTGACAATTGGGAGTCCATTGGAGTTTTTCAGTTTAGAAACTCAAAAGTCATTAGAAAAAGCAAAAAAAAATTGGCAAAACGTGGGCTCACAGATGGGGCCATTTTTCCCTTGTTCAGTCCGACATTCGTGTGCGCAGGTCACGCCCGAACCCAAGTTCAAGGTCCGAAGGCCATTTCAGTTCGTGATTTGCACCCCCCTGCTCGCGCACGTGGAGAGAGCCTCTATACTACACATGATTACACATCTCCAAAGTATAGTCATATATAAAGTGGTTTAAGTTTCCTTGGTTTTCCTATGTGGGATAAATGCATTTTTTCCCACAAAATCAACTTCCAATGACCAACTTTGAGTTTCAATTTCTCATTCACCCGAACTTTATTTTTGGCAAATAAATACATGAAATCGATGTTCTCGTAGAGGAGAACACATATCAACTTTGATATTTCACAGTGGACCAATGGGTCCATCGAAAATTGTGCCAAAAGTGAGCCGCTCACTCAATTTTTCCAACAATTTTCACCGCCCTGTTCGATTTAGATTAAAATCAAAATTTAGTAGATTTTTTAAAAAAAGTTGATGGAATATATTGTGGAAAAGTTGTGAATTTTATGATATAAATAATTAAGATTAGTTGTTGAGTTTAACTTTAATATAAATATAATTTTTAAACTGAATCAGACATTGACTATACATGGGTCAATCTAGTGAAGGTACAAGTCAGTATTAATTAATGATTTATTAAATTTTGTTTTTTTGGTCACTGTATAGAATCAAATCTGAGAAAAAGGCGAATTGGAACCGACCAATGCTAAATTCAATTTAATAATTTTACTACTGTACCATAAAAAAAATTTGTTTGAACATCTTATGCCGAATTTTTAATAAATTCAACTCCAATTACTTGACGTTGACTCCTAACATCACATAACATGCCGATTTGGCCCAGGCAGAGGATACACTCTAATTTTGTCTTTTTCTGAGTTGTCGAGTAGGAAAAGAGTGACGCTAATGATTTTAAACATCAATTTAGATGATACTTATATGAAATTAAATGATAAAATTTATTTAAATATAAAATCACATAATTTATTTGATTGAACCTATAAAATTTAGCTATCGAAATTGATGTTCTGCGCTACTGATATCATTTAGTTTTTAACATGCCTTTGTTTGAGTTTGCCAGTAATTAATTGTCTTCTTGTACAGTTGTACATAGATGAGGTCCAAAAAATTATTTATTGGAAAATGAAAGCCCACACCTACGCACCAACACTCCCCTGCCTAACATCGACCTGTACTGATCATGGAAACTCACGTGTCTCTCGTGGACAGGATGTGCGTTTTCGCGTGGCTGAATATTTAAATGGTTTGTTTTAAAATAATATTACTCACAATGGTGACTATCGATAATCATCTTACGTAACACACATGTGATGATTTGTTATTTAATTTACAGAGGCAATAAAGAATTCTCACATTAATACATTAAATAACAAACTGTTACATGTTTATAACATAAAGCAATTAACGGTAGTCCTCACTATAAATATTATTATTCCTTATTTTGTGAATAAATATTGACATGTATTTTTCTTTTTTTAAATAAGTAGTATACATCCTATCTCATTTCCCTTTTAATTTCTTTTATTCAAGACATTGAGAATGATCTATTGAGCACAAATGTTCACCTTATATTAAATATCAATGATGCTTCGTATAAATTTATGGATAGATTATGTCACTGGTGTTAACATAAGATGAGCATTGATACTCATCATATCATTTCTTTTTAAAATATAGTACATTGACAAGTGTATTTTACACCTTTATATAAATTTTTAAATTTACTTATTCGATTATTTTGATGGATTACTGTTATATTAGTATATAGATATTGATATATTGTGTTTGAAGGTTAAATCCCAAATTGGAGGTGATTTTTGAAATGGCAAGAGTTGAGGCTTGGGCATGAGAAGACGTGACTAATATCAATAAGAGAAAAATCGTATAAATCAAGGTGGTTGGAAGTAGTAGCGAAAATGTGAAGGGATGAATCAAACATTGGAAGGTTGCAGAAGCAGAATGCAATAGTAAGGAAACTAGAACTTAAAATCAAGTATAAAATGTCCCATGGTAAATAATATTCATTTGAAGATAATTGAATTTCGAGTTCAATGTAAAAAATAGATCGCAATTTGAAATTGTGGATCAAAAGTTATGTGCATTAGAATTAAGGGACACGAGCTACAAGTTTGATCCACAACTCCAAGTTCCAATATTTTTTTGAGTCTAATTCAACTATCTTTCCACTTGATATTATTTTGTCATGCAAAGATCCTTGTACCAAATTTTATGTTTTAATTTCCTTCAAATTTTATACATGTAGGTGCAGCGTTTAGCTTTTTTCGACCTTCTGGTGTTTGATCCGCCATTTCACATCTTTATTACTACTTTCAACCCCTTTATCCAAATTTCTACTTCAATGCCTCAACCATTTTCCTCGTGGCCAAGTCCCGATATTCAAATATTCAATCTTTTGGTCCTTTTAATTGACAAACTTCATTCATTTTGCAACAATCACCTCCGAGTTGTGATTTAATATAAGTATAATGCTACTCAAATAGAGACTTTTGACGGGATTTGTTGACACTAAGTATTTGTATATTTTTTTAACTGTCCAATAAACAAATGACACGTGTTCCCCTATTAAAAATTATGTCATTGAATCTGTTTAAATAGCAGCACTGTAAATATAAACACAATGCATACACTAATATCTAGGAACATAAATAAAGTGTAAAACACAATTATCATGCACTATAGTTTGATACTCGACAACACAACATTAATAAAATGCAACGACGTTGAACAGTCTACCCACGCAATCTCACTTCATTTTTTTAAGCTAAAAAAACATTTCACACGTCTTTATACTTAAACACTAACTTATTTTTTACAAAAAATACAAAATTTGATGTATTCTGAGCCACCTCACTAGGTGACGTTTATTGAGATTATTTAAATACGAGTGAAAGGTGAGATTGATCCATATAGACAACATACTGTACCAATCTTCCATAAATAATATAATATTGAGTATAAGAAAATATTTGTAGTGTACGTTAACATTTTTCTTTTGTTTGATATTGACGTTAGACAATCCTCTAGAAATTATTGTTTAAATGGAATCTTTGACTTATACGCAGAAAGTTGCATAAGAAAAACAAAGAAAAAAGTACAGTAAATTACGGCACCATTCACGATTTTAAGTTTATGTATTATGAGTTTGAGGATACTCAAATAAGCTTGGAGCAACTCACTCTCCTTGTCACTTAAAGGGGAAAATAAGAGAGGAGGGTTTGTTGGAAACCCATCGTCTTCGACTCCATACTGATCGGGTCGATCGAAATTCGAGAACAAAATTTATGAGTTTGAGGAATGCATCTTTGGATAATGAAGTTTCAACAAACGTACAACTGAGTCATTAATTTTTAATATTTAGCTATTAGATCACCCAATTTTAATTTACATCCAACTGTGGCCAATCTATAATTCTATCTATTATCATAATGCCACACAACATCCATACATCACCCTCGTTGAAACACACTTTAAAAAAATGCTAAGAGAAAAGAATGCATATTTTTGGCTCATTAAACAACATACTTCGAGAGAGAAAATATTGCCGCTGGATTCCATCATTCATATACGTCACCATACTCCACTAGTTGAACGTTCACATTAGCACATCACTTTGATCAATGACGATAGATGAAGTGATCATAATTGCACGTAAGTAAAAAATGAGTGACTCGACTGCTCAAAATTAAAGATGGGTGACTTGTTTGCACGTTAATTGAAAATTTAGTAATCGGTAATACTGTAAACCCATGCTAAACTATCGACACTTGCCTACTCTCAAGTTACATTGAATTTACGACATTTGACTACTCTAATATTATATTTAATCACCTAATTTATAAATTTAAGTTATTAGAGAAAATCGCTATTCATATATATGTCATTTAAATGTTGTGTTCAACCATATTTACATAAATAATAATATTTATCACTATGATGATGAAACATCGATGATGTGGTAGTCTAAGTGAAATGATGTGATTATATAGTTCAATTTTATGAGAGAAAGGAGAATGATACGTGACCTCA